AAGGCCTAAGGTCAACCAGCCAGTAAAGGACTGAGCCAAGAAGTGAGGCTAAAGGCCTTTTTCCTCTCCCWGTTAGGCAAGGGGTCTTATCCCAGGTGCCCCCAACTCAGAGCCCCAGAAAATAGCTCTACCACTCTTGAGAGATCTGTGGTGTGCAGCTGATGATCTATTTTCAAAGGCAAAGCCAGGGTCAGGAATCTGAGTATGGAGCTGCCACAGGCTGGCTTTGTGATATTGAGCAAGATTCTCAACCTCTCTGAGTGTTGTCAGATGGAAACCTTCCTTTGTAGACCAAAGAGCTGAAGATGTTGAGGAGGTCTCCTTTCCCTAATTAGAAGGCCCCCAACCTTCCACCTCCTCCTTCCTTTCCTTCTTATTCCTCTCCACCCACCCACCATCACCTCCASCACTCGGTGGTGTGGATACTATTATTATCTTTTCAAAAGGAGGCATTGAAGGATCAGAGAGGTGGAGTTACTGACCCAGGATCACTCAGCCAGGTGTTTCTGGCCTCAGTTTCAGCTGGACTTTGGAAAGCTGACCCTGCCCTGATTCTCCCACTCTTCTCTTCTCAYGCCTGTGAATCTCATCCAGATCTTCCCTCAACTTCTCTCTCTGTCTCTTGTGGGCACCTAAGTCAAGATCCCATCATTTCTGACCCTGCAGCACCAGCAGCCTCCTTGCCTCCTCCCAGGTCGCCCCCCACCCCGGTTCTCTGCAGTCTGGCTGGCACACACACAGTCAAGTGAGCCTTTTAACACGTATTGCTTCACACAAGGTCCTGCTTCTTGAGGCTTCCCTTGCCAGAGAGCCCCTCTCCCACAGCCCTGCGGCCCCTGCTGCCCGACTCCAGCTGCTCTCCTTCCTGTCTTGCTCACAAGCTCCAGCCTCTCTGGCTTTTTTCAGTTTCCCAAACACAACAGCTTGCTGCTGCCTGACGCTTGCTTTGCGCTTGGCTGCCCCTGCCTTCTGGGAAGTTCTACCTGCTTCCTCTTCCTTCTTCAGGCCTTGGTTCAGACGGCCTTCCTCACACCACACCACTGACCATCATCCCACCCAGCCGTCTCCTCCATTTTTTCTCATTTTTCTCTCAGTCTGAAGACACTCTGTCATGTTGACCTGCTTAGGGTTTGTCTCTCCACTGGAATGGGAGGCCCTCAGGGAGACTCATCTTATTCATCTGTGTCCCCAGGACCAGACCCAGGGCCTGGCACTTAGGATGTGCTCATATTTGTTCAATAAAAATAAGACCTTCCTAGCCCCAAGTTCTCTTRTAAACTCAAAAAGGTCTTTTAATTATTATATTCCAAAGCAAACTCCTGACTCCTGATTTCCCTGTGATTTGGAGCAGGGTATGTATCTAGGGGTACCCTGGACATAGATCATGRCCATTCCAGGTTTTTAAGAGGAGCCTTTTTGCCAGGATGGTGGAACAGACCCACAATCCTAGCTATCYGGGAGGCTGAGGCAGGGGAGGAGGGTCACAAGTTTGAGGTCAGCCTCAGCAACTAAGTAAGACCCTATATCAAAATAAAATGGCCCGGTGTGGTGGTGCATACCTGTAATCCCAGAGGCTCATGAGGCTGAGACAGGAGGATGGCAAGTTCAAACCAGCCTCAGCAAAAGTGAGGCACTAAGCAACTCAGTGAGACCCTGTCTCTAAATAAAACACAAAATAGGGCTGGGGATGCAGCTCAGTGGCTGAGTTCCCCTGAGTTCAATCCCTAGTACCAAAAAAAAAAAAAAAAGCAAGAAAGATTGGGGATGGGGATGGACTTGTGGCTCAGTGGTACGGTGCTTGCCTGGCATGTGTGAGGCCCTGGGTTTGACTCTCAACACTGCATATAAATAAATAAAAACAAAATTCCCTCAACAACTAAAAGAAATTGTATATATATGATGTAGCTCAGTGGTAGGGAGTCTGGATTCCCCAGAACTGCAAAACACAAAACAAAGCAAAAAGAGGGGCCTGCCTATTCTACATGGTTTCCTGGGATCTGGCTTGGGCACCTGCAGTCTGAGTTAGGTGCTAAGACTTCAGACAGCTCTTAACACCTAGAAGGTTCCAAATGCTAGTGGCCCCATCAGGTGCCAATGTGTAAGTGACCAGCCAACCCCCAGACTTCACAGATATCTGTGAAGTTCTCTAATCCAAAYGGAGGTCAGTGAGTGTACCTTAGCAGGACAGAGGCCCCCCAGATTCCCATTCATGGGTTCATTCATTCTTTAACTGCTGTATTTACAGACTGTTGCCCAGAACCTGGCACATAATAGCTGCTCAGTAGATGTATGTTAGAAGAATTAATTTATTCTATACAAGCAACATTTACTGAGCACCTACTGCATGTTAGGTCCTGTGTTAAGAGATGGAGGACAGATGGTGTACATAAAGCAACTGGAGCTGTAAGCCCCCTTCCAGGCTCACTAGGATGCCTCTAAACCCTCCCAACTCAGCTCCCACTGGCTGCCAGGCTCCAGGCCCAGGGCTTCTCTCAGAATTGAGGTGTGGTCCAAGAACCCCATGCCCCATAAGACCTTAGATGGCTGCATCCCACAGCTACAACTCCCCAGATCCTACCAGTCCTACACACCTGCTCCTGCAGCCTCCTTTCCTCCTCCCTCCCAAACCCTCAGACACCGCCATCTCCCCCTCCCAATGCCCTACATCTGCCTGAGGTTTTACCAGGAGAAGCCAGAAGATGGCGCTGAGGCACCCCTTTCCCTAGCGCTGGACCAGAGGCCAGACCCCACCAGGACCCTCTCCCTCCCTCCTTTCTCCCCAGCAAGGCCAAGAGTGGATTCTGTGACCTCCAAATAACCCCTTTCCTCCCTGCTGGCTCCTATGATGGAGAAATGAGGAGGCTCCAGTTGCTCCTGCAGGCCCTCTGGCTGTCTGGGGGGAAGGGAGAAAGGTCCCTAGGGGCCAAGCTGCAGCTGGTGGGGCGGGGCAGGCAGGGCAGGGCAGGCAGCAATTGGCAAGACAGAAAGAGAGAAAGAGAGAAAGGAGAGAGAAGGTGCTCTGGCTCCCAGCTTCTATCCCTAACAGGTCGACTTCCCAGCTGAGGCTTGCCCCCAGGACAAGAGGTACGGTTCGTGGGAAGAAGCAGATGGGGGGGGRAGGGGGCTTGGGGTATGGAGGGGCTGGGTAGTGAGATTCTACAGCTCAGTGAGAACCCCTGAGTCCCCTCCCATCTCAAAGTGACCAGGTAGAAACTTGGGGGGCAAGGGAAGAAGTCCTGAGGGGGGCATCAGGAGGGGAGGGTTGTTTCATTGCTGCTCTGATCCATTGTGTGMATTTACACCAAGCTCTTCTATCTCTGAGCTTCAGTTTCTTATCTACAACCGAAAAGGTGGGGGAAAGACCCCGAAGACCTTCTGTGAGATAACTGTACGAAGAGTCCCCTTTCCAAAGAGGGTAGCTCTTCCAGGGCCTCTGGAAAACTCCTAAGATAGAGGAACGCCCTTCCAATAGTAGAAATTAGCTAGTGCGGGTAGGGAATTTGTTTGGACAGATGGGTGGTCTTTCCATGTCAGGGACCCTGGGACACTGGTCCCTAACTTGTTTTTTTGACTGGTACTTGAGGTGGAGAATGTCAGGATTGAAGGGGTGGGAGGAATCTCTTGCTGCCTGGTACTCCAGAGGTCCTCTTATTAGGGAGAGGGCCATGAGTGCAGGACAAGGACACCTCTTTGCCCCCAAGATCAGAAAAGGAGTGGGTTGGCCAGGAGGGTGTGTGCTGGCAGAAGCAGGCCTATTGATGCTCACAGGGTTATGAAGCAAGGGTCATCCAAGCCCTTTCATTAGCTGTGGCTGCCTGCTATGTCTCCAAAGCCCTGAGCACTTTAAAGCCATTAGCTCAATCACTGCTTACACATTCAGTCAGGCCAAAATGGGTGTGGGGGGCTGGCCTAGAGCTGCCCCCACCCCCACCCACACACACTGCTCTTAAAGAGAGATTGTTCCAGATTGTTTCCTGGTTGCAAAGGCCCTACCACACTACCTACCACAGGAAGCTTCTAGAATATCAGGGATCCTGGGTATTACTCTGAAGTCAGTCTGGAGGGAGAGACAGTTGAGTAAAGGCCAACTTTGGGAATCAGAGCAGCCTGGGTTCAAATTCTAACTGCTGTGGAGCCTTGCAGGAGCCGAGTAGCCTGTCCAAGTTGCAGTCTCCACCTGTGCAAAAGGCACACAATAGAGTAGCACCTTATGGAGCTGCAGTGAGAATTAGGCCCCCCAAATGCAAGTAAAGACCAGCACAGCAGGGTGTCTGGTACCTAGCAGATGCCCATTATTGCTCATTAGGGAGATTAAAAAGGCAAAGGACTGGTCTGGGGTTCCAGCTAGACTAGACCTCCAGTGAGCCAGAGTACTTCCTTCTGGGTCCCACAGTAAACACTTTGCACTTGCTGTGATCACCCCTGTCCCAATTATGAGTACTCCTCTCTGCTCACTCCTGCACCAGGTAGCAAGACCGCGGGTATGGGGGGAAGTCAGGGTGGAAACCCCAGGCCACTTTGGGGTGGGGTGGAGGCACAAAGGAGCATTTCAGTGGTTCTGTCCTCCCTTCCCCTTGGGAAAGGGCAGGGATGGGGGGCTAGGTCAGGTCTGGCCCGGGGCTGACCACCGTGTGGACACCGGGAACCCTGCTGCTCCAGCACCGGCGAGAGTGAGCCACGGGGCCGCCAGACCGGAAAGTCCCAGGGGCGCGGGGGCAGCAGTCGGGGCGCCCTCGGCCCCTCACCCCGCCCCCGCGCCTCTCCCCGCAGCGGGGGCGCCCCGCCCCCCGGGCGCCCGACGTGGACGCGGCCGCCGCCGCCGCCGCCGCCGCCGCCGCGCGGGAGTCGCTGTCCGCGGAGCCGACATGCAGGCGGCGCGGGGCGGCGCGGGGCGGCCGGGCCGGGCGGGCCGCGGGCCAGAGCCGGAGCGCGAGCGGCCGCCGGGCACCGGAGCCGCGTCCCCCTGCGCCGCCCCGGGCCGGCCGGCCGGAGGAGCCGCTATGCACCCGGGGCCGCCGTGCGCCTGGCCGCCCCGCGCCGCGCTCCGCCTGTGGCTGGGCTGCGTCTGCTTCGCGCTGGTGCAGGCGGGTAAGGGGGCCCCGGGCGGGGGGCCAGGGGCAGGGCGGCGGGGCAGCCTCCTCTCCAGGTCCTACCACCTGGGAGTCCTCGGTTCCCTTCCTGCTCCCGAGGGACCTCCTGACTCACCTGCTCACTGCTCCCTAACCCGACCCCCGCGCTTCCCTACCTTCGTGACCCCAGACTCGTCCTTCAGCCTCCAAACCCTGCCCCTGACCTCAGCCCTGGGTTTTTAGTGTCTTGTGACCCCTGATGTCTTAATCCCATCCCCTGACCCCAGGTCTTTGCCTCAGGTTCTCTTTTTCTGGCCCAGGGAGCAGCTGAGGACACCAGTCCTCCCAGTTTGGGCCTCCTTCCCTGTCCTCAAAGACCTCTCAAAGCCCCACAGGACAACTCCACACATTCCTTGTGCAAGAGAATGTGTGATGGGAATGGAGACTGGCACCTGGGGGTGCAGGGTGGGTGAGGGTGGCCCCCAAGCCTGGTGCAGTGGCTGGCTCAGCCCCTGGGGCCCAGCCTCTCCTGACAGGTCTCTGTCCCTTCTGGTTGCGGCTGCCTCTGCCCATCTATCTGTCCATGGCTCAGCGCACTTGCTCTGCGGTCTCTGTCTGTTTCTAACCTTCCACTTGTCTGCTCTCTGTTGTTCTGTGTCTGCCGCCACCTGTCTGTGTCCTTCTGTCCCTCTCCATCTTCATGTCTGGCCTAGCTCCTGGGTCTCAAGTCCGTTCATCTGTGGGGTGAAGGGTACTGCTTAGGCCCATGTCTTCCTCTTGCAGCAGCTACCTCTTCGGAGATGGACTTGTATGACTCCACTCCCCTCTTCTGGAAGGTTCTTCCTGACCTGACCCCCAATCCCCAACGTTCTCCCTCTTGCTCTCTTGACTGATAACCCATTCATCCTCTCACCCAGAAGGCCTTGCCCTGTCCTCTCTTCACTGAAGGGCTCTGCTCTGAGTGCCCCATATTCTCCAGCTCTTTCCCTCCCACCCGCCCCTTAGGGGATTGGTGGGGTGTGGAGAAGAGACTCATGAAGACCCCTTCCCAAGTTGCATGCTGCCCAATTCATCACCACAATTCTGGGGGGTTCCTCTGTTGCCCCTCCCTCCCATTCCAGAGTTCAGGCCACCAGGCTCTTCTCAACCTCTGGGTCTTTCTCCTTCCCTCAAGGTCACTCACTTGACAGTGCAGGACTATAGAAAGAGCACTGGACTAGGAGTCCTTTTGACTGCTTTTCATCAAACTAATCTTCAGCTTCTGCAACCCTAGTCATTTGTCCCCTCCATGCCTGTCCCCCAGACTTTAACCATCCATGCATTAAATCTGACCCTGGCCCAGGCCCATTAATTTTTTCCCTGGGCCCCTAGTGGGGCTGGCCTAGGGTCAACAGGGGCTTTCATCCTATACACAAAGAGCCTGGAACTGCTTCCTTTCCCCTATGGCATGGCCTTCCCCAGGATCCCCCTTCTCACTTGTGAAACTGGGACTAGGCAACACAAGCAGGGGACACTCAGGCTCACCTGCCTCCCTGCCCTGCAGATAGCCCCTCAGCCCCAGTGAATGTCACCGTCAGACATCTCAAAGCCAATTCTGCAGTTGTCAGCTGGGACGTCCTGGAAGATGAGGTTGTCATCGGGTTTGCCATCTCTCAGCAGGTAACTCTTGAAGGTCCTTGGGAGGGAAGGACACATCAAGATAATGATCAAGATAATGACTACTAGAAATGGAGGATGGTGGGGTAAAGAAATAGAAAGGAAAAAGAAATGCAGGGCAAGAGAGACTGGCAGCACATACGTTGCACATGTGACAGGAAATTGGGGCCCTGAGGGAATTTGTTAGTGGAGAAGGGTTCAGGAGCTTTCAGCTGGGACATGGAATTCAGAGCATGGATCTGATCTCAGAACCACCAGTGTTTAGGACCTGGCTCCAATTTTCACTAGGTGTATGGTCTTGGGCAACTTCTCTAATCTCTCTGAAGATGTTTCCTTAAATATACAATGGATTTTGGGAGAGAAGGGGTCTGGTCAGAGCCCCCCAACGTTACCTGAAGTGACAGGATGATTGTGTTAAGTATAGGATTTGTCACTACTGGGAAGTAGACAGAAACAAGGTTGGTGTCTGGGCATTGACAGATGGCCGGTGCTCACTTTTGCAGAAGAAAGACGTGAGGATGCTGCGCTTCATCCAGGAAGTGAACACCACCACTCGCTCCTGTGCCCTTTGGGACCTAGAGGAAGATACCGAGTACATCGTGCATGTGCAGGCCATCTCCATCCAGGGCCAGAGCCCGGCTAGTGAGCCTGTGCTCTTCAAGACTCCAAGAGAGGCTGAGAAGATGGCCTCCAAGAACAAAGGCAGGCCTGGGGCATGCTGGAGGAGCAGGGTGGGGGCAACTGGGGCCAGCACAGCAAGTGGCATGAGGAAAGCACCCTCTCCCCAGTCCTCTCCTTGTCCCTGCCACCAAGTAAAGCAGCATCTGAGAGGGAGAAGGTTCACTCTAGTTCTCCAGGACACTGGGTACATAAACTCTCACCTTTGGATAAAGCCTTATTGCTGCCAACCCAAGCAGACATCAGTGTGTCTCCAGGTCTCTTTATGTTAGGTGTGAGGGCACCTATACACATAAGCACTTATTGTCAAGGTCTTGGCCCTAGAGGAGTGATTGGGGGAGGGAGGAGCCCCAGACTAGTGTCTCTTTCTCTACAGATGAGGTGACCATGAAAGAGATGGGGAGGAACCAACAGCTGAGGACAGGCGAGGTGCTGATCATCGTCGTGGTCCTGTTCATGTGGGCAGGTGAGTCAGGCCTCCAAGCCTTTCTTATCTTTGGGATATCTGGGGGTTGTAACCAGATCCCTTCTCTCACAATACCAGGGGTAAAGGGCTTGGAGAGATCTAAGAAAAGAGTGAAAAGTTTCTTGCATCCTGCCTGGGATAGCTCTGGGGGCCAAATCTGACCCCTTCTCTAATCCACTTACCCAAAACAGCACATTACTAGCTGCCTTCTAGCTCCTGTACATTTGGGGCATGGCTGTAGCCTCTCCTTCCTCTTCTGAGTAGTTGGGCCTCCAGGGGCTTCAGGCCTGGTCAGCACAGGGGAAGTACTGCCCAGCCTCAGGCTTGAGACCCTCTCCTCACCTGCCTGGTTGCATTAAATCTGACCCTGGCTGTCCTTCTAGACCCAGCTCGGGGCCTTCCACTATGGAAACTCCCCCATCCACCCACTGGATGGCCTCCTGCCCTTGTGCTACTGCATACTGTCCTCCCCTTTGACCCTCCTTATGTTGGGCTCAAGGCTCTCTCTTCCCCACCTGATGCTGGTCTATGAGCTCCCTAAGGGCCTAAGGGTAAAGTCCAAGTGTCCTTCATCTTTTTTTTTCTCCTTTCTTCTTCTTCTTCTTTTTTTTTTTTTTTTTTGTGTGTGTGTGTGTGTGTGTGTGTGTGGTGCTGGGGATTGAACCCAGGGCCTTGTGCATGCAAGGCAAGCACTCTACCAACTGAGCCATATCCCCAGCCCAAAGTGTCCTTCATCTTTGAAATCAACTCAACTGACATTTAACTGACCGAACACCCCATTCCAAAGAGTAGTGTTACAGTCAGAACCAAGAAGAGCTCTGTGCTTGCAAGGAACTCAGTCTGGGAGAAGCCAGGCCCAAACTTAACTATAATTCAATGTGTGATGAGTGCAACAATAATACCAAGGATGGGGGCAGAGGAGAGGGTGTTAATTCTGGAGCTAGGAGTAGAAATCAAGAAAAACAGAGCGGAGATAACATTGGAGTTGAACTTTGAAGGAAGAACAGGTGCTCACCAGGCAGCCAGAAGAGGAAGGGAGTTCTGGGCATGATGTAGTCAAGAAACAAATTAAGCTCAGTCTGGCCCACTGTGGCTGTGACCTAGGAGAGAAGGCAGAGTGTGGGGGAGTAAAGCTCAGTGAGTCTTTGGATATCTTCTGAGAAATTTGAACACATTGCTAAAGCCTGAATTACATGGTAGTTGAGAGGGCATGCTCTGTTGAGAAAGCATTGGGGGAAAAATGATCCTCAGGGCATGTAGAGAACAGGCACTTGGGACAAAAAGCAGGAAAAACAAAGGGTCGTACAAAAGAGGAGGTTTGCTTGTAGCACATTATTAGATTTGGCATCCATAGTATTTACATAATCATAACACCATAAGCATAGTGAATTAACCCAGAATTGTGGTGTAATTCTGTTAGGAGATGGAGAAGGAAATAGAGGGAGTTATTAGGCTTAATCTACTATAATGGGAAGTCAATGGATATTTAAAATAGATCATGAAATAACACTATAAATTCAGAGGTAAAAATGGGGAAAACATCTAGGATTAGAGTTGGTTGCCTTAATACTATCTTTCAAAAACTAGTGTTCACATATTTCTGACTTGATGAAACTAGACATTTAACAGGCCCTGGAGTTCCTCTCCCAGATGCACCGTGGTGTGATAATAATAGGTATCCTTGAGTTGTAAGGACTAAGTGAAGCTGCATGTGTCTGTACACAGCACAGGGCCAGGCACGTGCTCAACAAGTGCTGTTATTGTTTTGTTTTCCCCTAAAGGAAAAGGGAGCTGCCAGAGGTTTACAGGAAGGGCGGGGAGGAGGCATGATCAGGTACATGCTGTAGGATGATCTGCCCAACAGCAGCGAGAGGGACGGCTGGTGGAAGGTGGAAACAGGAGCTGGAGGCTGGAGGCAGGCTCCAGCAGTGGAGCAGGGGAGGCCATCTGGAACAATGTTGGCAAGCCCTGATGAGGATGAAGCACGAGGCATGGCAAGTACTCAGCCCTRGCCTCTGACGGCTCCCGCGTGTCCTCCCTAGGTGTCATTGCCCTCTTCTGCCGCCAGTATGATATTATTAAGGACAACGAACCAAATAACAACAAAGAAAAAACCAAGAGTGCGTCAGAAACCAGCACACCAGAGCACCAGGGCGGGGGTCTCCTCCGCAGCAAGGTGAGGGCCAGTCCTGGGCGGCTGGGAGGGTGGCTCCATGCCTTGTGCGTTGGTCGTCCCTAGACTGCAAAAGGGGTCAGCTCAGGGCCTGGCATGGCTGCAGCTGGGCAAAGCCAAGCTTGGCCACTGCCTGTGTGACACGGGACACTGCAAATTGATTTTGGATCCTCTCCTTTTGCACGATGCCAGGGACCAGTAGTGATTAAAAAATAAAAAAAGAAAGAAAGAAAAGGCGGTGGGGGGTGGAGTTCCTGGTTGGTGTGGGGCCGTGAGGGTAGGAGTGCTGTACTCATTTCCATTCCTGCCATGCTACGTATTTTGGGCAGGTGTTTACCGCTGTACTTTCATTTCCTCTTCTGTAAAACAGATATGAAACCTTTTCAGTGCTTGCTCTGAGCAGCTCAGAAGAAAGACATTAGAGAATGTGAGAGGATTTCATGGTTCTGACGATGATTAGCCAACAAACATCTGGCCCTCTCTGCATCTCCTTCTTCTTCCATCTCCTTGTATCCTCGGGCTTACTGTCCTCTCTTGGCTTCTCTCTTTCTGGCGCCTTTTCCTGAAGCCTCTTATTAACTCCCATCTTCAGAAGCACCTCAACAATGTCCGTGGCTGAGGCTGTGCCCAGAGGCAGATCTGCAGGATGTGAGAGAACCCGCCAGAGGCATGACTCTGCTGGGGCAGACTGGATACCAGGGCAAGAGGCCCAGGATTCAGTCTTGGCCACTCAGCTGAGTTTGAAAAGGCAGAGAAACAAGACTTACAGGCAGGGCTACTCTTTTCTTTCCACAAGGGACAAGAGCCTGATTTTTTAGGCTGTAACCCTGCTACTCCATTCCTCCTTCTGTCCTCTCTGTTTCCCACCTTTCAAGAAGTGTATTCAATCAGTTTTGGCCGCTTCTCTCATTTTTTCCCTCCCAGTTTCCAAACAAGTCCTCAGTGAACATCATCGAAGCATGACTGCCTGTCTGCAGGGAGAAGGATTTCATTTTTCTTCTCTGCTGGTCCCTGGGTCCTGGGCACAGAGAGAGAACTGACCGCAGCAAGGGAGGAGGCACAGTTCTTCCTCTTCCCCATCTTAGTCTGATGACAGAGGCTGAACTACAAACCCAAATTCTGCAAAAAAATAAATTAAATAAATAATAAAAAATAAATAAATAAATAATAAGCCACAAAACTAAAAGGCCTGGCCCCATCCTGGGAAAGGAAAAACTGCATGAGACACAGCCTTCTGCCTCCTCTCCTCTCCTGGACTGGCTTCCTCTTTGAGAAAATGCACAAAACCCTGGGAGATGACAAGTACCAAGACTGACTCAAGCTGTGTCTTTCAGACCSAGGCTCATCAGGGAAGCCATAGGGCTGCCATCAAGCCTTTTCTGGATCCAGCCATCAAGGACTTGTTTGTGGTGTGATGCACACCCTTGTGAGTGTGCATAAGAGGTCACCTGCTAGGTCTCTTTTGGAAAAAAAAAAAATCAAAAAGTGGAGGGCACCACTCCAGAGGGCAGAGGTTTCTCCCAAGGTCTGAGCTCGTTGCCTGCATCCTGTTTTCTTTGACCATTCCTTTGATGGTAAGATCATCAGCTGGGGTCTGAAGAAGACCTGGAAGGTACTTACTGACTCTGTCTTTTTTAGCAAGCATCTCTTTTTTCAGCAGTTTCAGCAGTGCTGGCTTGGACAACTGAAAAAGCACATCCACGTCCTGCATCCTGGGGGCTGCTGAGCCACCCACTGTAGAATGGTAGCTGCTAGAAGACAGGTATGAGCCATTCAACACAGACAGAAAGAGCAGCCTGGCTGTCACTACTGGCCTCTGGGGTCTTCATATCTTGCCATCTCATCCAAGGTTCTATGAAAGTTACCCAGGGTCCTCATGTCCTTCCCTAGAGCCTGAGTGGTGTAAGGTGACAGGTCTCTCCACTGTCCCTTACTGGTTAAAAAAAAAAAATGGTGCTTGATGAGGGAACCAGACTCTTCCCTGGGACTGACACATTATGGCTGCCAGATGCTTGCATAGGAAGAGGCGAACTGTGCATCTTCCGCTGGTGGCCAAGGCAGGGATGTGGAAGGTTGTGCCTAACACAAGCCTGACACACAGCAAGTACTCAGTAAAAATATGTTGCRCTGACTGGTAAGAGCACTGGCCTCCTCCATGCCAGAGAGCTGAAAGCCATCACCCAGTGACCACCTCTTCCTTTCAGTCTACAAGAGCTCTCAAGGCTGGGTCAGCCAGCACTCTGCTTTGGAGTGTGGCAGCACAGGAGTGGAGAGACAGGAGAATGGGCAGATGTCAGCAATACTAAGGGCTTCCTCCTGGGAGGGCATGGGGCTCCACTCATCGTCTTGTGACTTCCATCCCTGCTGAGTGGGGAGCAAGGCTCCTTAAGGGAGAGGTCCTTACCTCTGATCCAGTTAGAGCAATAATCACTTTTTAAATGTAAAATAAAAAGACAAATGAAAAGGCACATCCTTGTCTTCTGGTAAATGCCCAAATGTTGCCCTCTTTTTCTGGCAATTGGCAGCAAGTCAGGATGTGTGGAGGAGGGAATCAGTTCTCTCTTCCATTTTGGCCTGCAGCTTCTTAGGGACATGCCTGCCAGCCAAGCTGGAGTTGGAAGGGAATTCTTGAACAGATGGGGGTGCACGTGTAGGAGAAGAAAATAGCTGCTCTATCATCCTCTTTCTGAGGCTCCCCCAAGCCCAGCTTGGGCTGCCTCATTGCATAGGTATGCAGGCTGGTGCTCTGTTTTAAAAAACAAAGGACTTTCCTCACTGGACCAGGCTGGGTGCTTTCCCTGGCTAAAGGAATGCAGTTCTTATCTCCCCAGGGTAGGGAAGCAGGGAAGAGGATTTGCAAAGGCTGCTTTCAGAGGTTCAGTATTCACAGCTGCTGTTCTGGGCTGTTAAAGGAACATCAATGTGATCCCAACAGCAAGCTGAAAGGCAGAGAGTAATGATGCCATTAGCCAATGAGCAAACCACTAAGTGGGGCACCTCAAAAATTCCTGTTCAGAGCCAGGGAAAGCTTGGATAGAAAATGTCAGATGAGCAGGGCTTGGAGTAGGCTATTCAGAAAGTTCTGAAAGCAGAGGGAAGATAGGTCTCAGAGACTAGGAGGGGAGGGAGGACAGGAAATAAAGAGCACACAGAATTCTAAGCCAGCCTCAGAAAGGTACCCAGGCCCTCTGTACCCATCTAGTGTCAACTGATAAAAAAAAAGCCTCAAGTCAGTATTATGTACAGTGGGGCTCAGGGAGCTCTATTAATGGGGGCTTCCTGTCTTCAAATTCATCTGTGCCTCTGATACATAAAAAGGGTATGAGGGAAGAACAAACAAGCTCTCAGTTTAAGTAAAATTTCATCCCTTTCCATTGCCTCCCTAAAAACTACTGGTGCTTTTCCTGAATCAACTGTATTTGCATAGTCAAACCCCTGCAGGTAATGAACATGGTCTTTTCACCTCTCACATAGATCCCACACTTGGGAAAGGCTCTGACAGCCCTTTGGAGACCAAAAGACCTTATTTGCAAACCACAGTAGCCTGTAGGAGGAATGCTGGTCCCAGAGGCAGGGGACACTGCCTGGTAACCAACCAACACTTCAGGCAATCACTTTTCTGAGGATATCTTTGGTTTCCGTTTTACCAAAAATGGTTAAGAAGAGAGAGGATTCTCAGAGATTCTTACAGTAGGGACCAAGGGGGCAGTCTCCCAGAAACAAGAGGGGAACCCAGGGCCTCAGGGGAGGGAGACTGGTGGATGTTTCTGTGGGCAGGAGTCCTTCTCTCCTCCAACTCCTCTCCTCTTAACCCCTAACTTCTTTGTATGGGCTTCCTCTAGAATCCTTTTTAAAAATTTCTAATTCAACTTTTTACAGAAATCTGTAGCATCTTGTCAATCCATTTTGTGGGGGGCCAGGGGGTACCATTGACTGGTACTTGACCATTGAGCCACATCCCCAGCCCTATTTTGTATTTTTTTTTTTTTTTTTAGAAACACAGTCTCCCTGAGTTGCCTAGCACCTCGCTTTTGCTGAGACTGGCTTCGAACTCCTCATCCTCCTGCCTCAGCCTTCCTAGCCGCTGGGATTAGAGGCGTGCACCATTGTGCCCAGCAGTTGCCAATGCATTTATGTTTCAGATTTCTTCTTTCTCRCCCTCTTTAAACTTATTTGGCAATTTTTGAATTATGCTTTTAAGAAGTAGCCCCCAAGAACAAATTACTTCTATAAATGGACACTGCCTCCTCCAGCTCCAGCYGTACCAATAAAAAAATATTCCTAAGCATGCAAATGTGGCTTGAAGCTAAATTGAAGCTAAATTGAAGGAGATCTTTGTATACAAATGGTTCCTTAGTGATAACAACATTCCAAGATTATCATTTGTACTGCATTCAAAATTACCCAAAGATCACATTCCACTTCCTTCTCAGTGAGTGCTGGGGAAGGCTAGATTATCTGTCTATGGCATGTTCCAGTTGTTATAAGAAGAGAGCAGGTGGGAAGGAATGACAAGGCAGGAGTTTGTTCATTAAGGAATTCCAAAAGTGACCAGCTGACACTTCCTGGTGACAAGTGGAAATTTTTTCCTGACAGGTGCTCTAGCATACAAAGCAAGCATACCCTGGACTCAGCTTAGGAATAATTCTGTTCTCTCTTGGAAAAGAGGACAAAAATGGGAAAGAACACTATGAAAAACAGGGAATTCAGCTTCCTAGTTTTAGGTGGTTAGTTTTCCTTTCTGTGAAAGCTCAAAAGGGATCTTGTTAGAGAATGAGTCCATTCCTAAGTCTTAGACAAGGTCCATTTCTCCTTTTTCCATAACCAATGAATTGATGGTAAGGAGCACCACCATTTCAGAGAATTCATTCTGTTCTCTGAAACCTTTGCCGCCTACAGAGTAACACATTGCTAAAAAGGAAATAATTACCAAAGGATATCAACACCTGACAAGAACACAATGGGTATGTGTAGGTCCAGTACCTCAGACTGAGACAAAGAGTATCCAGTAGCTAAATACTTAACACATTTATATTAAGCCTCTTGCCTGGACTCTCTTGGTTTAGAATATATGCACTTACAAAACTTACAGAACAGCATTCAAGTGAGCCTGTCCAAATATATTGCTCTCTATTTTCTAAGCATGAGTTGAGATTTTAAAAGCATTGGCTAATATAGGTGACCAGCTATTATTCCCTGATCTTTTATCTTTGCTCCTGGGGGTAAGTCTAAAATTCGGGATCTAAGGAAAACTATCTCTCCCACATCTATCCACACTCATCCAACCTTTACCACAGGTTCTTAGAGCAGCAGTTTCTAGAAAAGTTGGGTTAAGAACACTCATCAAGGGGCTAGGGTTGTGGCTTAGTGGTAGAGTGCTTGTCTGGCATGTGTGAGGCACTGGGTTTGATTCTTGGCAACACATATAAAAAAATAGATAAATAAAGGTCCAAAAAATAGATAAATAAAGGTCCATCAATAACAAATTTTATATATATATATATAACATTCATCAATTTTGTACTATTGATTCTGGTTTCTCACATCTTCAAAGGGAGACTGTCATGGAGTAGTATGGCTTCTTCATTAACCAGTGCCAGCTCTGGAAAAGCAGAGCTATACCAGCTAGCCACACAGCCATGGGAAATCAGCAAGGCATCCTGCCTGCCTGATGAGGGCTGAGCCATCTTCCCCTTCTGCAAAAACAGCAGCACAGTGATATTTCAGGCTCTCCCTATGTCAGGCTCCTGACATGCATCATACGTAGCTGCAAATCCCAATCATTTTCAACATTTCTTAACTGCTGGGACACCTTTCTCAACACTGTAATTTACCCTCAAGAGAAAAAGGAGCAAAGCACCCTTGCCTTCCCAGAACCATATTCTATTAAATGCCACCCCCTTCCCATATCCCACTAATCTACCTACGCAAAAAAGGAAAGCAAATAACCCTCCTCCAAAGCCCGCAACAGACGGCCACAGTACATATGCCACTGACAAGAACTTTTATTTCTTTTTAATGACATTAAACACAACTGCTACAGGGAAAAAACATGATACAGAGGAGGCACCAAAACTTCAGTTTCATAATTGATCCTGACAACAATGCAAGTAAATCAGGGCCTGTATTAGATGCAGAACTACAGGTTATTTCAGGCTCCTTACTTATAAGTAAACTACTTAAACAGCACATTTTTACTCTGCTTTGTCAAGACCCCCTGTGGTGATAATGTCATCATGGATGAAGAAAGTTAGGTAGGCAGTTAAATGCACATAAAGATTACTCAAACTTAAAAATACAGCAGGAATTCCACCTGAAATACTAGACTTAGAGGGCAACACCAAATACAAGAGATTTGTAGCTCTGAAAAGATTAAAACTCCAGATTCTACCCACTACCATCTTTAAGGCAAATATGCCAGATAATGAGTTTTCTTTGGCTTTTTTATATCTTAAAGAATACCATGTTAACCACTAGAGAACAACTCTCTCCTCCCCCAGTCCAAAAGATTTAATTAAGCTGCTAAAGCTTTGGAAAAACAGAATTATATGAGCTAAGAGGAAATGTGATTGTCACATTGTCTAGTTAACCTGTCACTCATTTAATTTGGCAAAGGCAATGCTCCTATTACACATTCAGTCGTAAACCCTCCAGTACCAGGACAGGAATATGAATCTTAGAGTTCTGCCTAAGCAAAAATGCTGTCTTTTCACTCCTGGGTTGTTTGTGGGAACTAGACTGCTACAATGCTAGCTATTCCAGCTATATTTAATTTTAACTAAAAACTTTGGTCTCAAAAGTGGGTTTGGCATGTCTCACTCCATTAGGCTAATTTAGGACATCCTGGAGAAGTGACCAGTTAAGTAAATGCCAATTATGCCAACTGAAATACAGATTTAGAATACTGCCTTTAAATGGAATTTCTTCATTGCATTTTACTTCCAGAATCTAAAACAAACATCCAAGGAAAAGAGAGTCCTTGATTGGTTAAAAACAGTAAACACTTAGGGATATCTATCCAAATTTATTGGAGGCTTGAATGACTAATCTTCTCCCAAGTCCATTTCTAAAGTGGGTAGAATGTTTAAGATGGGTTACTCACATACAAATATGGGGCTGATAAAACAATACAACCAGAGAGGCTACAGCAACTATGAACAACTTTCACAGAGTGAACAGCAGCAGCATGAATGCCAGACTGCAAAACTTCCTAAAATAATGTCTAGAGCTGTCTGTAAAGAGAGAATAGCAAATTTCTAAGATGTCCATTAAGACAGATGCACAAAGTCTGTCAGCTTTGGTTAGAACACCAAACCTTATGACCAGGTAATGCTTTTGTGCACATGCTCAATCACAATACCATTAGACCCACTTGAATAGTTATGTGAAGGTATACATCCAGGCCTGAAAAAAGAGGAGATGGTAACATTCAGGGTCTAAAGGCACCTGTTAACCAATAATGGAAACAAGTAATAATTCCAAAGTATCTCCCACAGGAGGAAGGCTCCTTGGCTAGTACTCATAAAGTTAGGATTCAGCAGATGAAACTAAAGACCAACTGACATCTCAATGACATTGGGCAGCTCTTCAATAAAGAGAGCAAGGAGGCCGTTCAAAAGAGACATAACCATGTCAAAAAGGATATATAAATACTGCTTTAAGAACCCTAGAGAGCAAAGTGGTCACTGGGGGTGAGGGACAAAAAAAAAGGAAAATCCTTGAAGGAGGACAGAAGACAGTCACAAGACCACAAGGTATTTAACAGAGGTTAGTCAGCAGTATTCTGTCAGAGTTAAGATGTATAAGATTTGTAAACACTATGTGCAAAATAAGTTTAACAGAATGAAAAATCAAAAAATAATAATAAAAACTGGGCTGGGGCTGTAGCTCAGTGGTAGAGTGCTTGCCTAGCATGTGCAAAGCCCTGGGTTCTATCCCCGACACCCCAACATGGGAAGGAGAAGAGTAGCTAATAGGTACAGAAAGGAAAGGATTTACATTTTCAATTTATCCTTTAACAGGATTTTTCTCCTATTCTATTCTACTTAGAATGTCCTGAATTGCCAACTTTAAAATACTGACAGGTATTCAGAGATTCAAATTTAAAAAGAGGGATTGTAAAAAGTGACATATATCCATTCACAAGTCATCAACAATAATTAACACTGGCACATAGCCTGGTAAAGAACCTATTCCTTACAGTAGATTAAAAGATTGACTTCTTTGGGGCACCAGAAGTAGACTTCACCTCTGCCTGTATACAGGTGGGTGTTTTATTAAGCCTGGGTATTTTAGCTTCATGTTGGCTTTCAGGAGGCAGCCACCTTCAACTTAAATAAAAAATTAAAAAAATATATATCACCTTAACACTGCTTATACACAATACACAGACAGGCACACAAAATCAGGAGTGTCTTCATACAAAAAAAAAAAATTCAAGTCAGCAATAAGTATTTCCAAAAGGTGACAAGTTCTTTAAATAAAAATCTTGTGAAAAATAAATTCAAAATATATGAAGCAAAAAACAGCAGAAGAAAATGAGATGCTGCTCTGGACAGGACCCTGGATAGGGACTTTCATTGCTGATGTGATGAGACAAATGGACTGTACAAGTCAGGGAGACGTTGGAACCGATGGTGGCTTCGTTTGTTCCTGTCAACCCACTGATTCAGACTGTATCTTTGCAGAGGTTTCTGTCGGAACCGGGCGTAATTTCTACCAAGAGAGAATAAAAACAGGAAGAATATTTTAGCTGAAATGGCTACATATAAAAAAAGCCAGCACAACTATTTTAAGAATATTTTAACTTCATCAGAAATTAATTTTATATTTTGATTCTCATAATTTTAGAGATTTTATACTATTTTAATTATATAAAAGCCACATYATAAGTACTATTTCCTTCCAACTTTCAAAGCTACCTAATTCCCACATAGGTATTGTGGTGGGATGTGCCACATATATAATGTTCCAAGGAAAACTAATATATAATAGTGTTTAAAAAATTTACTTCCTCCAGAAGTATTTCATTGCTTGCATCAGACCTGTACCTCTAACAGGATCTCACTGTCACATAGCTCAAGGTTGCAAGGTTGCTCAGGACACAGCAGTTAAAATTAGAATAAAATTCCCAGAGAAGGTAAGTCATAATGTGAGTTTTACATCGCAAGTTTAGAGACTGAATAACTACAAGCACAGACTCAAAATTTCTTTCTTTCTTCTTCCAGTACTGGAGACCGAATCCAGTGGCACTTTACCATTTAGCCACATCCTCAACCCTTTTAATTTTTATTTTTAGACAGGGACTTGTTAAATTGTTGAGGCTGGTCTCAAACTTGCAATCCTTTTGTCTCAGCCTCCAAAGGGAGATTGGAGCCACTACACCCAGTTCACAATAAAGTTTTCTGAGAGTCTCCTTTAGTCATGTGCTGGGTGAGGATTCTAAGACTGAGATAATCTGACCCCAATCTCAACTCCAAAACTGTACTAATAACCACCTAGCAAATGATTTAAAAAGATGTAAATTCTTAACYCTTCTTTCCTCAACTTAATGACTTAGAATCCTTGGAGTCATGACCTAGACATCTGTACCTGATGTTTACCTGTCACTATATGCAAGTACTTGCTGAATTCTTTAAATACCTCATTTCACTGAATGCTACTGAAATCCTCTGGGAAAGTATTCTCATTTAATTCCTGTACAAGTAAGGAAACTAAGCCTCATGTTAAGTTGTGCAAGGTCATATAGTACGGTAAAGAAAAGAGCTTGGATCTGAATTCACATCTGACTCCAAAATTTATTTAGTAACAAGTACACTGCATATATTTTTGGTGTTGTTGTTTTGCCCCAGCACATGCTAAGCAAGGCCTTGCACATGCTAAGCAAGCACTCTATCACTTGAGCTACACCTTGAGCCCAACACTGCCTTGATTTTTGAGAAACGCTATGATTTTGACAACTATAGAGGAAACACGAGTATAGGCCCTGAAGGGAAAACATTTCTGACATTTAAAAACAAAAAGAAAGCAGTGTAATCAGAACAGAGTGAGCAACAGCAAGAGTAGTAGGTGATGAGGTTGGAGAGCTTAGGCCAAGGCACATAGGCCTTTGGAGAGGACTGTGAGGATGGGAAGATAGAATATGAGAAGTTATCAAGCAAAGCAGAGAAATTTATTATTTAAAGAGAATTTTATTCATATTCTCTGGCTGCTGAGTTTGAGAACAGTAGACAGGCAAGGGCAGAAGAAGGGAAATTTTATTTTATCTTATTTGGGTACCAGGGATTGAGCTCAGGGACCTCTGAGCCACATCCCTAGCTCTATTTTGTATTTTATTAGAGACAGGGTCTCACTGAGTTGCTTATGCCTCACTAAATTGTTGAGGTTGGCTTTGAACTCAGTTGATCCTCCTGCCTCAGCCTCCGAGCCACTGAGATTACAGATATGTGCTACTGTGCCCAGGTAAAAAGGGAAATATTTAGGATTCTTGCAATAATCCAGGTGAAATGGTCAGATTTTCGATATGTACATAGAGCCAATAGGATTTGCTAATGGATTTAATAAGGGAAGAAATAGGAGTCAAAGATGACTCTAAGGTTTGTGAGTGACTGAAATCAATTTGTAAAGCTGCACTGCATCAAGAATCCAGATTTTGGAACTAGAAAGATCTTTTGACATCAATTAGTCCAACATCTACTGATGACTAAAGAAGTGAAGTGACTTGTTCAAAATCACACAGCTAGTTAAATATTGCTAAGCTAGTATTAGAACCCAGGTTCCCTGAAATTCAGTATAGTTCTTATTTCATTCTACTGCAAGGTTTCATTTTCCACCTCTGAAATGACAACCCCAACAATTACAACCCCAGCTCCCCACCACATTCCCCTTGCAGCCAAGTTTTACCCTTTTCTTCCCTCTAATTACCCACTCACCGCATGGTGAGATCCGAAGGATGCTGCCGATTCATCAAAGCATACAGCTCCCCCGAGGTAC